GACTGGGTTGATACGTAATGACAAACTGAATAGAGGTGGAGTAGCTTACCGCCACTCTCGGCAATGATGTTTATTCGCTTCTTCACATATCCAGAGTGTAACAACTTCATACATAATACGCATATATATAGGAGAGAGATAGAAGAGAGACAGGAGAGAGATATATTAGAACAACGGCAAGAGAACAGACAGAGAAGGAAGGAGAATCATCGAACCGTGTCATCAATATCAGCACAGACAGAAGAGTGATATATTAGAACAACGGAAAGAGAACAGACAGAGAAGAAAGGAGGATCATCGAGCCGTGTCATCCATATCGGCACAATTGTGGAATAGAGATGCACCAATTCCAATTCCTAGAATTGCTCGGAATTAGAATTGGTTCGAATTGGTATGGAATCGGCCGGAATTAGTAGAAAGCCGGTATTAAATTGATCAGAATTGGTGTAGAATTGACATTGTTTAGCGATAGGAAATTTTCCTTACACAGACAGCTACTTTGCTATTTACTCAGTAATGAGATAACAGCGAAATTCAATGCTTCGTTTTTCACTAACGAAAACATGTTTTTGAGAAAAAATAGCCACTTTCTGTTGATAATGCTTAATCAAAGGTTTTCGAAGAACACCTTGCTTTGTTGAAAAATGAAATGCACAATTTAAAGGAACTTCTTGCAGGCTTAGATTTGTCTACTTCGAAAGCCTGAGATCAACCTTTCTAAAAAATTATCATTTTTCCAAACATTCCTCGCTTTGACAAAAAAGCAAATTCAAACTTTTCTGCATTCATGTTACCGAGTAATTAATAAAGTACCTGTCTTCGTTGTAGTAACCTCTTATTCGAGACTAATATCAATTCCAATCAATTAAGCAGAAATCTACACCAACTCCAAGTTTAAAAATTTCTGATCAATCCAAGTCTAGAGTTAGAATTGCTGTACCCCTACCTAGAACGCACTTATAAGCGACAAAACTGATAGTGATAGTCTCTTAAAATAACCACTTCGAATCAATTTAACAAGAAATGAGAAAACTAAAAGTAACTCGAAACGGTTCATTATGAATAGCAAATGATCTTTTTCTTGGAAAAGGAGAATATTAATTTTTCTGTCGATACATTTTTTTTTCTGTGACTGGGTGAGTTTATAAGAAGTCCAAATGACTGTAAGATGATTTTAGATTCTTTCGAGTGTTACTTTTTATAAATCACTATCATATTGCGTATGTTTAAGGTTATGGGTGAAGTGTAGAAGAATGGTTATTAACTAAAGCTTCTGTTCATTCAAATGAGCTCATTTTTGGTTGAGGGTAGAACTCTACTCAAAATGTTTTTTCATTTGGATAATGTAAGTAAATCCTACTGTTAAGTATTTCAGTTGACGTCAAGAAAGCAACTTTACTAGTTGTCAAGTAAGGAAAACACACGAAATATTGTGTAGATGATTTTCAGTTGTCATTTGACAGAATTACTTGAAAAAACTCAAATAAATCACCTGAATGATACTATATGGATGTATATCGAGAGAAATTTCTCAACCAGCCAATTTGAAAGTTAGAAATTACAATATTTCGAATTTTCAGGCGTGGAACACTGATTTTTTCTGAAAACTTGTCGACTGAGTAACCAAAGGTTTTCAGATACGCGTTTTAGTTATCAGACACGAGTTTACAGCATTCAAAGTAGCTAGTTCAGAAAATTTTCTATAAGTACATCAATGTGATATCATTTAGAAGATTTGATTGAATTTTTTCAAGTCATTCTGTCAAATGACAACTGAGAATCATCTACAGAATATTTCATGTGTTTTTCTTACTTGACAATTAGTAAAGTTGCTTTCTTGACATCAACTGAAACATTCAACAGTAGAATTTACTTACATTATCCGAATGAAAAAAAATTTGAGTAGAGTTCTACTACCAACCAAAAAAATGAGCCCATTTGAATGAACAGAAGTAGAAATATTTAAATTTCTTATCGTCATGTTATTCTTCATAGGTCACCCTGTTTTAAAATTATGTCTTTTCATCTCAGGAAATATAATAGTAACTATGAAAAGGTACTGAAAATTTTATGAATAAATGACCTCTGAAAACAGATTTTAGACGTGGCGGGGCGAGGCGGTGACGGTTTCATTGTTGGATAGGCGGGACGGTGGCGGTGCGCAACCTTATCGACGGGACGGAACGGGGCGGTGGTGGAGTAACTTTTTGACTTCCACGTCCATCTCTGGTCTGTAATATGGGCTTCAGTTGCTATGGTCAGTGGCGTATCCAGGGAATTTTGAAGGGGGGTACGATGGATGGAACGTAAACAAGCATTCACGTTATTCACGATACTTTTTCTAATCTTTTTTATTATCAACTGTTCAAATTTACATCATTTGAAGAATACTATAATCTATGGCAACCAAAACAATAAGAAATAAATCATATAAGAAATTCTAGATTTCTATTCTTTCGTTTTGAGAACTTGTCGATGGCTTGTTTAACATCAATATTAATCATTGCATGTATATACATTATTGCTAGACCACTCAAACGATTTTCACTCATGGTACTTCGAAGATATGCTTTTAACAGTTTTAATGTTGAAAAGCTTCGCTCACCTGTGGCTGTTGTCACTGGTAATGTTGCATAAATTTGTAAAAGAACTTTAATATTCGGGAAGAAGGTACCGTTGCAACAAACATAAGAATCAATAGCATTGTTTGGACGATGATCTGGCGCCTCATTTACCCATTTTCGTCTGTACAATTGGAATTCTTCTTTGATTGTATTCAATAATGGTAAATAAGCTTCATAAAAATTAATAATATTTCTCAAATCATCGAAAAACTTTTGTTCAACCAGTGATGGAATAAGAGCAGGCACATTATAGACCAGCCATTGATGAGCACTGAATCGGTCAGTTAACGATGCAATGAAATGATCCAAAACAGGAATGAATAGATTGACTCGATAATAATCTTCTAGTGTTTGTGCTGCTGCATTTGTCCACATATTGTTGGCATTACTGTCAATTGAGTACCTGAAAAAATTTTCAAATCGCAACGCTGAAATTAAACTGATGCTTTTGATGTCTTAGCATAGCTGGACGATTCAATGGAAAACAGATACATTCGATTGAGAATTAAATTGAATTGATCGATTGTCGAATTTCATCATGAAACTGTTTCTTCGTATAGAAATTTATTAATTATGTGTGCTACTTTCTTCGTTGAACATTTGATTGCTTTATACGGACAACTCTCCTACCTGCTGGTTCACACAGTTGTTTTGCATCGTCAAGTATTTCATCAAACTCTTCATTAAGTTTTTCATCTCGTATCTTTTTGAACAGCAGTTAAATATCGTCCACTAACTGCTTACAATCCATAATATCATTTTCCGACGATTGTAACCCAGCAGCGATAGGAAAAGTTATCGATAGACATCTTTTTAATGTACGCAATGAAACGATGAAACAAGAACTTTGAATATTTTTCAAATAGTTGAATGCTAATGTTCGACTCTTACCTGATTCCTTTTCGATGTTTATTTCGAAACAACTAACTATGAAAGGATACAATTCTCGAAATGTAATCACAGCATTATGTCTTTCCACCCATCTTGTATCACAAACATTTGCCAGCTTTGTTTTCTTCGAATTATTTATTATTTCTTTACGATAAAAAGTTTGTTTCGATGATAAGTTGAAAAAATTATGGATTTTATTCATAGTACCAATACAATTTTGAATAAAAATAATCGAACACGAGTCAGACACAGCCAAATTAAAACTATGGGACGCGCAATGAAGATAAAGTACCGTTGGAAATAGGTTTTGGATGTATGCATGACATCCTAAAAGAATAAAACAAGAAGATATCGGGGTTATAGATATGAAGGCTGAAAAAAGAAATTAAAAGGAATGTCAAAAGAAATCCTACCACTCAATTGTCCTGCCATTGTTGAACATCCATCATATGCCTGATCTATCATGAAATTTGGATCAAGACTAAGATCTTTTAATTCTTCAAGAATCAATCGAGCCAAACCTTCACCTGTCCGATCTTCGGCTGATATAATACTAATAAATTTTTCTTGCACTTTGTCTTTAAATACGTATCTCAGGCAAAATGTAAATTGTTCCATTTTGCTTACATCCGTCATTTCATCGCCAATCACAGTAAAGAATGTAGCATGTTTTACTTCAGTAATTATTTGTTCTCGAATTAAATCACCACAAATTTCGATTAGTTCATTTTGTGTTGTTTTCGAAATGTATGTAACAGTTTTGCTAGCTGTAGATAGATGATTTTCTAACACCGAATCACCTGTATGAACTCGATAGCGAAGTAAGGCACGAAAATTACCTAAAATAAATATTCATTTATTAAAAGGATCAGACTCTTTAGTTACCTTCTCCACGGCCAATGGAATCCATACTCAAATAACCATCATCTCTGTGTTCCCGCAACGGGATGCTGTTTTGACCACAAAATATAATAGTTTTGATAATTGGTGTTAAACGTTTTCGATTTTCAATTTTTTCCAGCTTCTCTTTGTTCAATAGCAAATTATCGACACCGTCGCATTTGTTCTCATATACAAAAATAAATTGTTCAGCATTCAGGATACTATTATGGTGATAACTGCTTGTCTTGTGTTTGGCTATTAATCCATTGGTGCCTAATAGCTTACCATATTGTTGGCATGGCAAAAGAACAAGCTGACCAAGCTGATTGCTACCGACTGGTTTGGCGAATAGAACACAAGTTATACAAAAAAGACCAGCCTTCAACGGTGAGTAAACTAGCCATGGTTTATTATCATTTAAATGGTTTTGACGTAAAAATCGCTTCTCGACAGTATTATTCGTCTTTTGCTCGATAAAAGGCCACTTGAATTTTTCATCAGGAATGAAATCTTGTGTTAACAGCAAGTATCGTAATTCAGCCGACAATGTTAATCGATTATTTATATAATTTCCAATATCATTTTTCAGTTCCACTGAATTTAAAATTGATGAGGCTTCTGGTAATGCTGCCGGTGCTTATCCATTTGGAGATACATGATTATTGGTCGAAGAAACGGCAGTCGAGTCAGAACAGCCAACTGGAATGTCTGTTGTTGCTTCAATTGTAGCAATATTGTTATTTATGTTTGCGTTCAAAACTATGACCGTCGATTTTTCACCTCTATTACTGGTGAAGCCAAATGAAGAGAGATCTTTAAACTTTTTCACTGACATGGTTTTATTAGATGAAAAACATGAATTACAACTTTCCACTCATATTTAACAATTATTGAGACAATGAGCTCAAATGAACCAACAATATAATCGTCCCGTAATTCAATGTTACTCTACAATGCTCGTCAACTGTGTGACAAGAAAAGAGGTCGCATTACAAGAGAAAAATATTTCTGATACATGAGCTAGAATATTAATAGCATATATATCTATGATATTTTTCTTCTCTTGTCTCGTTAATTTCAGAATACAAGCACTACAAGCCTCAGCATAGTGAACTACACCATCGTTGTCTTTGAAAACTTCTCGAAAATAAAAAGAATATAACTTGAGTACAATATACCTAAATTTCAAACGGGGGTGCGGCTGTATCCCCTCTAGCTCCGCCCCTAGGCTATGATGTCTGTAATGGAGAGGGAAGCCGCGAAAAATTGACCTTAAAACTTACATTCACTATTTTCTTCGAAAATATATGTTAGTTCCACAAAAATAAATTAAATTAAAAAATAATTTTATTTTTGTATTAAATTTAGAAATAAGAAGACATGAATGATGGTCAGTAAAATTTCTACGTATAAAATATTGTTTTTAACTCTATATTACACAAAATATTTAAGCATTAATGTATAAGAACATATTATATGAGAGCAGAATCAATTGTTTTATCACTCTAAATAATATTATGAAGATTAAGAAAATTAAATTATGATAATTAATATATGACTAAATGAAATATTTAATAGATGATTAAACAATAATATATGATCTATTTGATCATTGGAGTAAGCGTAATATATATTATTTGTTTAATAACACAATTATAGTCTTTTTTGTTAATTTTCATCGAACAATATTATTTTATCAATCGAAACAAATATTTTATATAATTATTATTCAAAGATAATATTTAATATATAATACGTATACATTATTTTATATTTTAATTAAATGTTAAGAACAAGTTAAAGTTATTGTTATTATTATCAATGAGAAGATGAATTATTATCTAAATGAGAAAGAACATTTGTGTCCGATGGAAGTTTTAATAAATTTTGACGATTTTTATCTATTCGTATTAAAATTGGAATTGTAAACAGTATAATACCACTTAACACAACAAAAGAACCAAACATAAAATAAGGCCAAAGAAATGGTCGAGCATGTTTTTCAAATGCATCACGCATTGCGCCTAATCAAATGATGAAAGATATGTTTAGGCAATATCATATTATATATATTAACTTACCAGCAGCTGGAGTACCTATAGCAGTAGCTATTCCTTGAAAAAGTAATATAATACCCATTCCATTAGATAATTTATCAATACCAACAAGATCAACAGTAATTATTGATGTTAATCCAACATATCCACCAGAGAAGAAACCAAAAAATGATGCATATATCAAATGAGGAAGAATATTAGAGCCACTATATGGAGCAGCTATTGTTGCTAAACCGGATATAATCAATGTTGAATTGTATAATGTCAGACGATTAACCTAAGAAAATAAAAATAAAAATAAAATTTAATTGATTGGTTTTTTTTTGTTTTCTTTTTTTCTTATGTCATACAGATTTAAGATCTGCTAAATATCCAATAATAACATGTCCGAAACAATTCGAAAGACCAATTGTCATAATAACAAATTTTCTATGATTTTCGTCAACATGTGAATCTTTTGCAAGATCATGTGCAAAATTGTATGGAACAAAAAATCCCCCGAAAAAGGCTCAAAATGCATAAAAACTACAGTTGAGAAAGCAAATAGTCTAGATATT